TTTTTTTTTTTTTTTTTTTTGTTAACGGTTAGACAGTATAATTAATATGTTGTTTTATAGGAAAACTGGAGTGCTTTTGCACCAGATTTTAAAGAATTAGATGAAAATGTAGAATACGAAGAAAGAGAAAGTGAATTTGATCTGGAAGATGAAGACAGAAGTCCATTACTTCAACATGAGAAACAAGAAGAGGACGAAGAGGTGGACGTCGTCACAGTGGGGCCTATTGCTGCTTTTTGTAGCAGGTATTTTAAAATATTATATGTATAGTTAAATGGCTATACATGGTAGTGTATTATATAAATTTCTTAAATTAGAAGTACTTTAGTTTTAATTTCAATTTTACACTAAATATATATAGCTATTACTTTGTTGTGTGGGGATTGTCTAACATTTTCCAAGCAACATCACCTGCAATATTTGTGAAATAAATAATGAACTTACTTTATTCAATAATCATAAAATATAACTACATACATTAAAAATTCAAATAAACTAAGTTAAAACTATAATCAGATTCAATTCTGTTTTAAATTAGTATTTTATAAATATACATTTAATACTTAAATACTGTCTTATCAAATAACATCAGTAGATGAAATTGCAATAAAAAAGCATTTAGGAGTTGGCTTCTTTTTATTTCTAAGATTCACTTGAAATCTTAGATTAGATTAGATCCTTACAAAAATTTAGTGTGAATTTCAGCATTAGTTCATCAAAATATTGGAATAGGGAATTTAATTTTGCTTTCAAGATTTATTTTTTGGTATATCTTGTTTAAAGTTGAAATCTCAAAATTAGATTATAATATATTATTTGATGCAGATTAGGGTTTCTCATTTCCTGGTCTTTTGCTTGTCCCAGGATTCCAGGATAAAAGTGAACTGTTTCCTGGGATAAAATTAATTATTTTTAAGATATACAAAATATCTTTAAAAAATGAAAAATAATTATATCATTTGATTTCAAGTAATTTAATATATTCTGCAATCTCCAAAATCATAATAATAATGCTGTGTAAGATATATATTAAAAATTACCTTTGAATTACATAGAAATTTTCACAAATAGAAAAAATTTATTAGTTTACTGGAAACAGCATACAAAAAAAATGCTTTGAATTGATTATATCAACACACTTGAATTTTTTGCCAAGCATAAATTCTTTTTATTTCTCAAAATGTTTTCAACCTATTTATTATAGGCCATCTTCAGGATTACCATTCCAAAATGGAATGCAACATTTTTCAAATACATTTCATTTTAAATTTAAAAGATTTACAATAATTGTGTATATAAAATAAATAAAAAGTAAATAATAACAGTAAATAAGATAAAATAAAATAGCATAAATAAATAAACACAGTAAACAAGGCTAAGTATAACTACTACAAGCATTTTTGTACATAGTCTGAATCTCTAATTAATAATTAGAAGAAAAATATCCTGAGCTCATCATGAAATTGTATCTAATTAATAATTAGAAGCATTGAGGGTTTTTGATCCCCATGCTTTTTTCTATCATGTACTTCCATGTAGTTGGAAGCGCATTAGCATCCTTGGCATTTAGGCAACGGTTTTTCGTTTTTCATTTTACTTTTATATATTTCCATTTTTTCAATTTCTAATGCAATGGATGGAGATTAGACCGTTTTAATAATTTTTGCCTCATCCCATTTTACATTCGCTTCTTCTGTCTGTGCCATGATTGCTAAAATGGTGTTGTTGTGCCCTTTATTAATGTTGTATGTGTGTTCTCGCATACATATTACTAAGTGTTCAGAAGACACTTAGCAATACGTATATACTTTGCTACCCCTAATTGTTAATTTTCAAATGGTATTTTATAAACTCCAGCTTTCTCTTGCATTTTTACACTGTCTTTATCATTTCTTAGTAAGCTACAGATGTTGAGAGCTCTTTTATATACCATTCTTGCATTTTTATAAGTACTCAATTCATTCATCACTTCTCCTATATGCTTATTGCATGTGAATTTGTTAATTGCATCTACTTTAGTATCTTTTTTGCCTTTATGTTGTCTGTAACTTTTGATCAGGCCTTCAGTGCCTTTTGTAGCCTAAATTTGTTGCACTTCTTTTAATTCTACTAATCTCCTTAAGACGGTCCTGTATGTTGGTGCAATATAAAAATGCTCTTCTAATAAGTGCCTTAAATGCTGATAACTTGTATTTATATGGATCGTTAGACCAAGATGGTATATATAGGGGAGCATGCGTGGGTTTTAAAAATGGCCTATAATAAGTAGGTTAAAAATGTTTGAGAAATAAAAAGAATTTATGCTCAGCAAAAAATTCAGATATGTTGATATAATTAGTTGCAGTTGCTGAGAAAAAGGTGATTAATTTCCAACTCAATTCAAAGCTAAAAAACTGAACTGAGATCAAACTTCTAAATTAGAAAGTAATTTTTGTTTTTTAAATAAAACATAATATAAAAATTTACAATATTTTGTAATAAGATTTTAAAAAGCAAAGATGGTCGATATTCCGATCACTCGATTTGATTCTTATTTTAGTAATGAAAAGTCCTGCTACCAAGAATGTCCTTTCCAATTCAATTGATGTGGTTGGAATCATCTTTAATGCATTTAAGAGAAGACAGATGTTATGTCTTTTTCACCTGTAATCTGGAAGATTTCTAGTTTGTTTTCAAGATTGTAGTACTTCTTTTGCCGTCTAGTATTCTTGATTTGTCTACTTCAGCTGCTTTAATAGAAACATCAAGTTTATAGCCCAATAATTCGGCAGTTCATTTGTCTTTAATAATCAGGTTTATGAAGAAAAACTTCATACTTGCATACTTCATATTTGTTTGTATCCTTGCTCGTATCCTTGCCCAATTTGCACAATCTGAAATAATGCAGTTATTGAAGCTACTGGGCATGGTTAAAAATTAAGAAGCATAAGCACAATTATTCCAGATATTACAAGTTCTGACAAGTAAAGAATTTTCAGTCCTGCCACAAATAAGCTACATATTGATTATTGACCATTTGTGACATGCCATAATGAGAAAAAATTAAAAAAAAACTAATAAGTAGGTTTAAAATTAATAAATACAAATGTATTCTGACAGGTTATGAGTTTATACTTCTATTTGCAAAATTTCCTCAACTTTAACTCAAAATAAGAAAAAAGTGAATTTTTAAAAAAGTTGCAAGATTTCCTGGGTTAAAAAACAACCCGGATCCCATTTGACAAACCCTAATGCAGATGTAATTAATTAACCATCCAGTGTATAAACCATTCTTTTTATAATAATGGTTTAAATTTCCATTGCTTTCACTCTCAAATTTGTAGTCTCAACATTGAATTTTAAGAATTTATATACATTAATCTCATTATAAAAATTTGATTAAAGTTTATAACCTTGGAATTATTTATTATTTATTTTTATCTAAAACCATTGTTTGTTTTTCTTAAAATTACATGAAAATGTCAAGTTGGGTTTGGACTAATAAGTAATATTGATAGAAGTAATAATTATGATAAATTTCAGATGGATTTTAACCCAATTGTCTTTTTTTTTCATATTATAAAATACTTAAATTTTTTTTAAGAATTAACTATCACTTAGCAGAACAATTACATTACTATGTATATGATTGTGTGTTTGATTAACATAGTCCACATCACAATAATATTACCTTTATCATGTTGATTAGTTATAAAAGCAATAAATTTTAAAATGTGAAACACAAGTTCACTGTAGTGGAACCCGATGTGCCACAATTATTATGGTCCAGAATAGAAATCATTTCCTTTTCAAATAACAATAAATACGAGCAAATTTAATAAATATATAGCTACTGTTGGATTGTGTGCAGGTTATGATCACCTTTTAAATCAAAATATGCTGTAAGTATTTAAAATGCTTGATTAAATCTTCAAAACAAGAGAAAAATAATGGTGATGTAAGACTGTATGATTGACAGAATATAGATAATTTATCATAGATGAAACTCTATACTGTATATAAATGTCACACTTGGCCAGTCAATCTCTGAAAAGTGGACGCCATCAGGACCAAGAAATTTGTCTGTTATTTAGATAAAATACAGTACGGCTGCCAGCATGTATAAAGTGGTTGTCTTATGGCAAAGACTACAATTGGATTATGAAAACATCAAATTTGCATTGGGAATGTAAAAATAACAAACAGTATATGTACACATACAGTATATTACTTCTCTTTTTAGATTTACAGTTTGAATGTCAAGTTATGAATGCGATTTGCTAGATGCTTCAAGGAGTAAGGAAAGTATTCCTGATTCTTGTGTTTATAACATCATAAATGATCTAAGCCAGCAGTTTCCAATCTTTTTATCGCCGCGGACCGGTCAACGTTTGATATTTTACCGCGGCCCACTGAGGGGGGATGTTGATTGTTTATATTTTAGATTGATTTAATTTAATAACTTTAATTGAATTGTATTTAAACATGCCTTCAAAATAAAATATAGTTACACCAAAAAATGAACATAATGTGATTTNTTTCTTTGACTATTTAATAATTACCATTTTGTATGATCTGTTTATTTTAGTTTATTAAATTTTTCTTTATTATTGTTAAAGAAATATCTCTTAGTAAATCTCTGAATCAAAACAGTAGTATCTCCACACGCGTGTTAATCCGCGTGTAAAATAACGGATTAACTGGTGTCAGGTCCTGACAAGGAAGAAGGTGAATTTGCCATCACCTACTTCCGCTCTAAATTTATTTTAACTGTAAGTCCCTCCGCACTTGAATTTCCTTAGATTGGGAAAAGCCATTCTCTTGGACAACTAGAGAACTAGTTTCAATTTCACCAACTAGAAGCCGATTAAGTGATACAAGAGTAATAAACTACTCCGTACCCCGGCTAGATCTCACATAGTTGTTATCCTTTATAATTAATATGAATTTATAAAATTTATAATTAATCTAATAATGTGTATTTTGTAATCATACTATGTGTGCAGTATTATAAAGAAATGTAACTATTAAATATTATTAAATTAAATAATACAAAAAACAATTATTGAAATTAACCAAATCTTCATATTTGTAGAATTATAAAAATCATTTTGTATTTCAAAAAGAAAGAAATATACAAATGAAAGTATCCTAATGTGTTACTTTTATCTCTAATAAAATTTATAAACAAATTCTCTTCAAAAAGAAAATAAATTGATTACATTTCCTTATTCTAGATTACATAAAAATCTTTAACTCACAAATG